GTGTATCTTTAGCTATGTGTATTTTCACCAAAAAAATAAAGAGGTTGAGAAGTTAGAGGGTTAATATGTTGTGGGGTTGTTAACCAATGTTATAAAACAACATGTGTACTTCTGTTTCATGAGAAACTATTTGTTCTGTAAGCCTTCACCTGAAGTACAATAAAAAAAGAAAAATTGTCATTTTATATGGGTCTGATAATTTAGGAGAGGATAAACTGAAAAATATTAGAGATAATGCCAGGAAAATAAAAGGCAGTATTAAAACAATAATATGTTACAATGATCACTGTCTAATATCCTCAAAGAACTCGTCCACACCACTTTTCAAGGCTGTTTATAGGAAAATGAGATTTGAACCATGCAAGGTGTTCAGGATCATCTCTCTCTCATTTACAATTCTGAATATGCAAATCTTTCATAAACTACGATTTGATTTTTTAATTGAAAAATATGTTTCCATTACTTCTAGCACTCCATCTCTCAAATCAAATATTATTTTTGATATGGTCTTGATAATCTTTGGAGAAACCAAGTCTATAAACTGAGTTTGTGGTTATTTTGAGGTTCAGAGTATCATCTTTGCACCTAAACAAACACTCAATTTACCTTAACAATTTATCCCTATTATGGTAGAAGGCCAGGGGTATACAAACTGCTATGGAGTCACCAATATGTTTTTATATTTCCTACAGACTATTTACTTCAAAGAGGAGAGACTACGCCTAATAAGCTTATAGAGTGCTTTGACCTAAATTCAAGGATACCATTAGTCTTCTGATCTGTGTGATCTTCAGAAAATTGTAATTTTTACTTTGCTAATAATTAATTGCCATTTTTTCATAATTTTTTTTTGGTGAAAATATATGCAGCAAAACATACACCAATTCAACAATTTCTACATAAACAATTCAGTGACACTGATTACATTCTTCAAGTTGTGCAACCATTCCTCCACTATTAACATAAACTCACTGCCACCCCGAGCTTCTCATCTAACTTTTCAAGCTGCTGTTGTCATCTTGATCTCATACAGATAATTCTTCAAAAGGGCACAATGCTCTAAGAAGACATTATTTACTAATTAAGCTAAACTACTGTTTGTTTCAAAGAAGACATCAGGGTATAGTTTTAGTTTAAGGTTTAAAGATTATCTCAGGGCAACAGTTCATCTCAGCGTTCATCCAGCCTCAATGGCTCCACAAATCCTGGATTCCATGAAAATGTGAAATTCTGTTTCATATTTTCCCACATTTTGATCAGGATTCTTCTATAGGATCTTTGATCAAAACATTCAGTAATAGCAGTCAGTCACCACTCAGTTCTTCTGGTCTCATGGCAAAGGAGGTAGTTGTTCATGGAGGCAATAAGACATGCATTCCATTTCCTCCTCCAGTTCCTGACTCCCCTTCATCCTCTGCTGCTCCAAGCGAAGAGAGACCAACTGTTGGACTTTAGATGGTCACTTGCAAGCTTTTAAGACCCCAAGTAATTGCAATTTCTTATTCACTTCCTATGCTAAAAAGGAAAATTCAGTATCTTTTTTCAAAATAAGAACTTTCTAATCATTTATTGACAGTATAACCCTGAAATGCTCTAAACTCCTTCCAAAGACAGTTACAGTTTGAATCCTGAAGATTTCCAGAATACCCATAATTCATTAGTACTATGCCTATAGGACCACAGTTGCTAAACGGAGTATGGTTTTTCCCTGAAGGGCCAAAAATGATGAGTCAAATATTACAATCACTCTATATGTAACTCTTGCATTGTCAGCTAAAACCTACCAGGATGCTCTGAATATACAAAAACACAGAGTTAAAATGACTTAGAGTCACAGAAAGTTAGAGTTTAGAAGAAAACTTAGAAGACACTGAGTTCATTTCTTATACTGTGAAACCCGTGAGAGCTAGAACTCGGCAGGACTGCCTTGTTTTTCCGGGTCTCGCAAGTTTTTTGCCTTTGACAGGGTGCAGTCTTAACACTTTTCTATCACTCTCTATTAGTGGAAAATATTTGAGTTTTCCTTCTCTAACAGGTTTCCACCTTACACAGGTTCTGCCTTTCGCAGGTTTTACTGTATTTCAAAAGTTGTGATAATTGAGACCCAAAGAGGTTAGATGAATTGCCCATGGTCACACAATTTATGTATAAGATAAGCCCATCCTATGTTGCACACACGTATCTTACCTTTCTGATGATGCCTTAGAAGTGACAGGATGCCCACAGACACCTTTTTTACTTTTATGGTCTAGAGAGATAACCTTATTTCGTAGGCTTCTTTTCAACTAGGAAAAAAAAGAATATAGAATTTCAATAACGAATATAGTAATATGACAATTAAGAGGCACTTAGAATGTCATTTTTATTTAGAAACTTAAACAGACAAATTCATAATTAACAGAGGAAAAAAGTACAATCTACAGAATACCTGACTCTGTTGCTAGTGCAAGGAGCCCTTGTGGTATAGTGGTTAAGGCGCTCAACTGCTAACCAAAAGGTCAGTGGTTTGAAACCACCAGAGGCTCCACAGGAGAAAGATGTGGCAATCTGCTTCTGCAGACATATATAGCCTTGGAAACCCTATAGGGTCACTATGAGTCAGAATCAACTCAGTGGCAGTGGGTTTAGTTTAGGTTGGGTTGCTGTGCAGAAGTATTAAAAAAAAAAAACACGAAACCTATTGCCATCGAGTCAATTCCAACTCATAGCAACCCTACAAACCCTGTAGTAGAACCCACAGGGTTTCCAAGGAGTGGCTAGTAGATTTGAACTGCTGACGTTTTGGTTAGCAATCAAGCTCTTAACCACTGTGCCAAGTAGAGGACAACCAAAAAATAGCTGGAAGACATTTAAAATATCAAAGTAACTTTAGTCAGGAAATCAATACTTTAAGATTCCAGAATCTAACTATGAAAAATTTTAAATATATTTAAAGCAAATAATAAAAATTATAACATGTCAGATTAAAAAGGGCCTGCAATTTTGAAGCAACTGCATTTATACCAACTGGAAGGGATTACAATTTGTTCCCTATGACATGTTGCATTAAAAACTTTAGAAAAAAGTTAGATATCTGACTAACATGGTTTACATTTAATCTTACTGGAAAATAAGTTACAAACTGACTTATTTAATATAAAAACAGTGTGAACCTGGGAAAATACATTACTTATGTTCTTTATGCCTTCGTTTCTTTATCTGAAAATGGATGCAACAGCAGTAGCCACCTCATACGGATGTATGATGATTAAATGAGATTATATATGCAATAAGTTTAAAACACTGTCTTAAACATGATAGCCCTCAATAAGCACTGCCCTTCTTATGCTTCAGGCACCATCTTTTTTCTCATTCTCACAACAGTCCTGCCGAGTACAAAACATATCATTTTATAAGAGGAAAATGAAACTCAAAGAATAAACCTGCTCAATTGTACCAAGTCTGTCTGACATAAATGTCTATGTTCCTTCCAGTATTGTAATTCTAAATTCCACAAATTCTCAGAAAGTTTTCCTATCAAGACATAAACCTAAACACATCTGTCACCTTTATTTCACTACAAAATGTAAATGTGTCAATATAAACAGACATCTTTTATGCCTTATCTCCGTTCTCACTAACTTTTCTGTTCTCACCATCATTCTGCCTCTTATTATTTCTAACCTAGACTTTCACAATAGTCTCGTAATGTGTTTCTCTACCTCCGCTCTCTTCCTCCTCCAGTCCAGCATCCAATCCATCATTAAAGTTAAATCTTTCAAAAACACAAATCTAATGTCTTTCTCCTGCTTAAATTCCTAAGCTGCCCTCCACTACTACAGGAGGAAAAAAAAAAAGAACTGAGTTCTCATTTCTCTCTTCTGCTCCCCATAAATCCTGTATTCTGACATTACTAAACTATTTATAATTCCCTGAAAAATGTCATGCAGTTTCATCCCTCTAGATCTTCTGTATCTGTTCAACATCTGCACATATTGTTTCCTCTTTTTAAAATGTATTTTGCACTCCCTTGTTCTCCTTTTCCATTAAGCCCCAACTCTATGCAGCCTTCCTCACCTTCTGAAAGAGTAAATCAGTCTCTTCTGTGATACAACTATACCTTTCAAATACCTCTATTATTGTGGGGGAGCCCTGGTGGCACAGCGGTTAAGAGCTCAGCTGCTAACCAAAAGGCTGGCAGTTCGAATCCTCCAGCCACTCCTTGGAAACCCTATAGGGCAGCTCTGCTCTGTACTACAGGGTTGCTATTAGTCGGAATCAATTCGACAGCAACGGGTTTGGTTCTGGATTATCGTGGTGTAAATGGTTAATGCACTCAGCTGCTAATTGGAAGGTTAGAGGTTCAAGTCCACCTAGAGGCACCTCTGAATAAAGGACTGGCAATTTACTTCCAAAAAATCAGCCACTAAAAACCCTGTGGAGCACAGTTCTGTTCTGATGCACATGGAGTCGCCATGAGTCAGAACTGACTCAAAGATCCCTGGGTGGTACAAATGGTTTGTGCTCAACTACTAACCTAAAGGTTGGAGGTTTGAACCCACCCAGCAACACCGAGGAAGAAAGGCCTAGCAATCTGCTTCCGTAAAAATTACAGCCAAGAAAACCCTATAGAGCAGTTATACTCTGTAACATATGAGGTTGCCATGAGTTGTTGGAATTGACTCAACAGCAACTGGTTTGGTTTTTTACTTACTATTAGCACTTCTCACAGTGAGTTATATCTTATTTGTTATATCAAACTGCAGCTGGGACAACTAATTTGGCTCACAGAGCTGGACTCTCACAACTCCTGAATAACTAGTTCCCGACAATCATGCCATTAATCTCACAATAAATGCAACCTTCACCTTTTGTTACCGATTTCTTTGGGCCCCAATCAAACATGCTGTAGTAAGATTTTGCCCATATTTGCAAAATGGTGGAATGACTAGTCTTTGATTCTCATATTCTACACAGAAAAGAAACATTATCCCACCAAAGAAAGAGAAAAAGAAATCTTAAACAATGACAAAAATGAAATAAACACATGGAGACAAATTGAAGGTAATGATAATAGAGAAGGGAAACCGACTAAACTTTACTAACTTTGAGTAACAGTAACATGTTTAATGTCCATCTCCACTTCCATCAGAATCAAAGGGTAACATGGAATACACCCAGAGATGTTATCAAAGGAATAAAAAAGTTCACTATTTCTTATATTCATTAACACACTAAAATGTTTATAAATTTTGATTTTAAAAAAAGAGATCAGATAATATTTGCCGACTGGGTAAAATTTTCTGTTTTTCACAGATACAGCGTGGTTTTCATTTAGACTATGAGATATGCTATCTCTGAAAAAGAAGAAAGAACAACAAAGAATTTTTCCATAACCTGGTTATGAATAGGAATTTATTCACATATATATTTTGAAAACTACCTGGTCACAAATAAAATGACTAAAATGGCTTGGATAAATTTAATTTAAATATGAAAAAGGCTTTACAAGAATAAAAGGCTTTAACTTGTACACCCATGTTCACTGCAGCACTACTGACAATGGTCAATGTCTATCAACAGATGAATGGATAAACAAAATGTGGTGTATACATACAATGGAATATTATTCTGCCACAAAGAGAAAGTCCTGATATAGGCTACAACACGGATGAACGTTGCAAACATTATGCTGAGTGAAATAACTCAGTACAAAAGGAAATTACTGTATAATCCTACTTAAATAGGTAAATATATAGAGACCAATGTTTATTAGTGGTTACCAGGGGCGGGAGGGAGGGGGAAGGGGAAGTCATTGCTTAGAGGGCACTGAGGTTCTGCTAATGGTGGTAGAAAAGTCTAAAACCAGTGGTGACAGTTGCACAGCATGATGAATGTAATCAATGTTGCTGAATTGTACATGTAAAAATTATTGAATTGGCAAATATTTTGCTATATATATTTTTACCACAATTTAAAAAAAAAAAAGTAGACGTCTGTTGTTTTAAGCCACTTCGGAATGGAGGGGAGAGGAATAAAAAGAATTTGCTTACAGCCAGTATCAAATGATTCAAATACCTGATTTTGAAGCTCTCATTCTGGCAGGGACAGGAAAATACTATGCTAATTAAAATCAACGTTCCACAGAAATTCGACTGAAATATTTTTTTTTTTTTTTTTTTTTTTTTTTACAACCAAGGGTAAATGTTAGTATTTTCTTTTAAATTGTTCTTGGACAAAATCAATTTTGCATGCATTCTAAGTATGGGGGCTCAAAATCTCAACTGAGTGCCTACTTAGGCTCTGAAATGGAGCTAGCTGCTTCCTGCGGAAAATACTGGCTTTGCTTATTAATTACTTATCCCTGTCACAGCTTATTGCAATACAGAAGAATGATGAATTTCCAACCAACTGAGAATACTGGTCAGGATTTAACTTTTATGTACTAATTTCAACTCTACTGACTCTTCATCTAATTTCAAAGTGAGCAATAAGGAATGCCAACACTGAAAACACTTCTTAGATAATATAAGCTGGAAATACTTGCTAACCAATTTTATCAAACTCCTGAATGAATGAGGGCGGGGCGGGGGGGACATCTGGAAGTACTAAACACTATATTGTTATAAGCAGTGACTTTTGAAGAATGAAAGTGTATGCATACAGGGGGACAGGGAATGAGACATTACACACTTCCTTATTGTTTATGTCTTCAAACAAGCATATGTTATTTTTATAATGCTTTTAAAAAGTGATATATTTTCTTTTAACCCTGAGAAAACACATTTTTAGTTTACTTTTTTTGCATCTGTGTGTGTGTGTGTGTGTGTGTGTGTGTGTGTGTGTGTGTACGTATACATGTAACAAAACACTGCCAATTAAAAAATTTTTACATATACAATTCAGTGACACTGATTATATTCATCATGTTGGGTAACCATCACCACTATCCTCTTCCAAATTATTCTACCACTCTTAACAAATTCAGTGCCCCCTAAGAGTCAGTTAAACATATGCTTTCTTCTTTGTTTGGTGGAATTGTTCTTTCTACTTTATTAACCTTCTGTATGTTCTGTTACAAGCAACTTCATATTCTTTTTGGAAAAAGGCATAATAGAAATACATTTTAATTTAGTAAGATGTTTTAGTACTGAAGTAGCAGCCCCCAGCTAGTCCAACAGCAGACTCACAGGAAAGAAATGAGAGGATGACTCTGGAGAACAGGAGGGTTCCTAGGGTCAGTTGTTTTTCACATCACCATTCAGGTTTATGCACATCAAACTAAGTGCCTGATTTTTTTGTTCTT